GGAATGCTGATAAGAATTTAGGATTTTTTTGTCATTAGACTACATGCATGTCTAAAAGAATAAAAAAATATCTCAAAATTCCTTTTACAGATATTATGTATTCTACTTTTCTTACAAAGATGCACATATCTTCACATATTGCTTGGCTCTGTTGCTCATCTTCAGTTTCTTGTTCATCAGGCTGGTAATTGAAGACCACACAAGCAGATGATGCAAATTAAATAAACCCACTGCAAAATCAAATATCTTTAATTCATCTGCCCCTGCCTAAGAAACAGGAAATGAATATAGATTATGAAAAGCATAATAAAAAATCATGTGAAAGAATAGCTTCTTTGTGCTGTCATGGGAGTGAACTGATATGGCCCAGTTGTAGCTCATGTTATAAAGCATGACAGGGATAGCCTGAGAGGTATTTCCCTTTTACTGTATTGGCCCAGTGCCCAGAAAGGAGACCACTTCGCTCCACGACTAGTGTGTTAAAGTTCATGGCTGCAGTATGCCTGTCTGGGTGGTATCAGACACACACACACACATGTTTGTATAGCTATCTCTGTGAGGAAATACATTGACATAATGCATTCTATAGCCCCTAACCCAAGCTTTAACCATCTCAACTAAATGTCTACCCACAACCCTTCTCCTAACTCTAAACCTAATTCTAACCTTAACCATAAAAACCTCTTGACTGTCAAATAGCCCTTTGAACGGGTCTGAGAAAGTGTCCTCACTTTAGCAAAATGTCTGCAGTCCCATGGTTTAATATTTAAAATGGTCCTCACACTGCTGGCCATACAAGTATACATAGACATACACAATATTGCCAAAAGTATTTGCTCATCTGCCTTCACATGCAAATGAACTTGAGTAACAACCGATTCTTAATTCATAGGGTTTAATACTGTATATTAGGCACTGGGTACATGTGCAAATACTGGAAACTGTTAGCCTAGTTCAGTTTAGTGGTAACAAACTCTGCCTACCTGCACCTCTAAAACCCATATGGTCACTGTTGTTTAATCTGCATAGAAAGTAGATAATTCAGGAAGTTACTGCTTCTTGCCAAGAAACAGTCTGACGTATGGCCCCATAACAAAGAGCAGCGACAGTACAATTTGTGACTGAAGTCTTAGTGCATCGTTTAGTGCTATATAATTTTAAAAGTAAAAAGGTTTATATTTTGGTAAATGGGGAACTTTATGTATTTACAGCCGCAGTGGACAGCTGCCTCTGTCAGCACATTCACAGGGGTATGAACATTTGACCTCATTAACACTTACTATGTCCAGATGATTCTTCGGGTATGAAGCAAAGGCAACACACACATTGCTTTATTAGTGTTGCCAAACGTTAATTGCTGTGTTTTTAAAACTCACTGACGTCATGGTACTAAAATGTCACATACAGTAACATACTGTAGTGGACACATGGCGTTATTGCCTTGTGGCAACAAGTGATAACAGAACAGCAGCATAATCTCAGATTTGATGAACTGGGCTGGTTAATATTTTCACACCACAGAAAATTCTGTGAGTACTTCCTGTATTTACACAGGTACAGTATATGTAGACTTGAGGAAATGCATCACAGATTTGAGCTTAAAGGTTTATTCTTGACCTTGAGAAAAGAGGTTTGGCAAAAACTTAACACACAATTTACTCACTTGGACTTTCTGAAGCTTTCAAGCACATCTGGTGGGCCTACTTGGCACATGCAGCTGTGCAGCTGTCATGCAAGAACATGAGATGTGATTAAGACTTCCAATACACCAAATAAATGGACCTTACGTTTAAAATTAAAGTCACAAATTTTTGTTTTTACAGTATGCACAAAATTACAAACCATTCAGAAAAAATAAGATGTAAAGCAGTTGGTTTTAATGCATGACAGTGTGGTGGTTTTGGGAAAACTTTGGAATTAATCATTTCCCTGAGGCAAATATCTGTGCCTGCTTTGTTTCAGCCTGTTAGACCATTTCTTTTTTTATTATGAAAAATGCTGTACAAAAAACACTGAACAATGGGTTTTTCTCCTCCTTGAACCCATTTCAGATTCAGCCACCAATGCTGCAAATTAATGCCATGGAGTGTCACACACAGTTAGCTCATCTGACAAAAATTTGAGTCATTTCAAACTATTATTAAAAGAAAAGTCCAAGGCTGTGTCTTGTGATGTAGGATTAGAAAAAACAGCTGTATAAGTTTGCTCAGTAAAACCTAAACTGCTCTTCACTGGGACATGGACTAAAGTTGGGATTTTTCAAGTTGGTCTTAAAGCAATATTCCCAGGCCCATATGTACATTAGAATAGGTCTGTATAGGAATGTATAAGTTCTGTTACTAGAACTGGAATTTACTCACATGAATGTATAATCAATATCACAGCCCCTGCCTTTATTTATCTGTATATTTTTTACAGAGAAGTAATATTCAAGATGAAAAGCTTCAGGGTCGATGCAGAGAGTAGGAAAAACTACAATGACTGTGACCTATTTCATATACTGTACATGGGCACGTTATAAAGAGCAACATGAAAAACCGATTAATAAAGGCTGATGTGGGTTAACAGCCTCAAGGTAAAACAAAGTCTCTCCGCTTTCAGTGCACCTGTTCCTGCTGTCAACACCATTTAGAAACAGTGTACTTTCATTGGAAGTAGTTTTACTGAGAGAATTTACAGCTTTTTTTGGGAAATCCAAAACAGCGCTGTCAAGTTTGGCAAAAGAAACTGAAGAGCATCATTAAAAGAAGCAAAAAGTAAAAGATACATAAAACACTTCTGGTCTAGTCCAAGCAGATTCTTGCACAATTTAGTTCCTTTGTGTTGTCTTGTGTGAGATGAGGAATAAATAGTAAAAAAAAAAAATGCACACAAACAAAAACCTTCAACAAAAATCCTCTAGTGGGTAATGATGTCCATTAATACCAGAAAAAAAAATTACTGCTCGTCTGCTGGGAGAATGAGCTGAGGCCTCAAAATCTACACTGCAGTATCGTCGTCCATCCAGTTCATGTATGAATGACTTGATCCAGTTTCTTATATGTCCAAACTGTTTGGTTTTAGCTCAACTCTTCAATCCTCTGGAAAACTGCAAGAAAAGTCTTCCCTCCATTTCTCTGCACTTTCTTTCCTTCCTCTGTACAGGTACCCAGACGACTTATAATGACATCACCAACCTGTCGAAATAACCACACAGTTATTTCAGAAATGTGCTTATTTGTGTAAAACACTAAAACGCATTAGGGAAACACACCACTGCACTGGGTGACGCGTTTCCTCTAAATTATGACTGCGTTTTATCAGCTTGGAGAAATTGTGTTTGTTGATATTTGTGACTTTGGTGAAGATCAGATCACATTTAATGACCAATTTATGCAAAAAAATAAAAACAGGAAACTGCAATTACTTTTTGTTGTGACTTTAAACAGCACAACAACAGCAGCCAATTCAGACTTTTTATCTGGTGTAACGTCGAGGCTTGCAATGAGACTAACCATTTTGGAACGTGTGAACATTCCCAAGTCAGAAAAAGGAAAGGCTTTTCTGTTCTTCCCATTCTGCCAACACTGTGTGATTGTAGCATAAGACAGGCTACGTGGCTGTTAGCTCCTGAGGAGCTAAGACCCTGAGGAGCTAAGATTGTGAGGATTACATAAGCACATGAACAACCAATATTGCAGTCACGCACAGATAAAAAGCTCCACATCAACGTACCAGTTCTTCATCTGGGACACGTGTAAAGAGCTGATGTTCAGTGAAATGCTTCACCATCCAGAGGTGGACTTCTTCCACATCTGTGATTGTATACACCAAACCCTGACATGACCAGACAAACACAGAGAGGTTTAAACACAATTTTGGGAACAATAAGTAACAAAGCTTCACTGGTGAATTAACATGGATCTATTTATTAATCACAAAACAAAGTGATAGCAATAATTACAAAAAAAACAAAACTTTCTTAGTTGTTTCCCTTTTTAATATTTTCATGTGAGTTAAGTGGTTTCATAACCTCTGGAGATCAATGGGCTTTGCGAAAAAATATAAAAATAACCTAGAGACAGCACAGACAGGTTAATCACCTCTGTCTTTGGAAGCTTACTTTGTTTACTTTAGAAGTCAGACAGATAAAATTACTAGAACAGGGATTTCTTAGAAAACCGAGCAATGGTACAGATTACCACATGAGTGCATGTCGGCACGTACCGTACATTTTTTTTTTCTTCAAAGAAACCAAGATGGGAATGAGAGAGACTGTGTTGACTCTGCTCAGATTCGTGTTAATCACACCAGTGTACTAGGCTGGGTGTGGCCTGTGAACATTCGCAATCTAAAAGATATTCACTAATACACAACAGACTCTGGTTCACTGGGTCTGAAACTTCCTCTAAGAGTATGTTCTTGACGGCCTCCCCAACCACATTTAGAAACAAGCCTTCCACTGAACCACAGAGCCTCCATCAGCACTCGTGCTTTATTTAAGTGTCCCTCTACAGCTCTAACAGCTGTGATAGGTGGGAGCAGGGTGTGTTCAGAGGTCAGCCAGCTGCAGACCACCACGGTTGCTCAATTATTTTTCAGTGAATTCAAGGATTTCTACACACTGTAATCAATTGACAAACTGATGAGGAGAGTGGAAATTTGTTGCTCAACTATTACCAGTAGTTTTAGTGCTATTAAGTCAGTGAAAGAAATCCAAACTTCCCTCATTGTGTTAGGGTGGTGGCAAAAACCTCAGCTGCAGATAAATCAAGACTCTGTGCCATAGACCTGTATTGTTGTCCTGAAACTATTCAACATATCAATTCTCACTATTGCACAAGGTAACATGAGTGCTGAGACATGGCCCACTTGTTTTGCTGCTGTTAAAACTACCTATCACACAAAATGTGTATGATTCTGTGGCTGAGGATACTGCCAAACAACCGCACTATTCACTTATATCACTTATAATCATATTTACTAAGAACTACAGTGTCCAAATATATGAGGAAATTACTGAGTCATTTTTAAAGGGCAATTCCGATTTATTTGAGTCTGGCATATTTCCCATAAATGTGGCTATTGTGACTCTAATGGATCTTGCTACCTTGGCACTCAACACCTCTTTCACAGAGATCCAGGGGATTACTAATGTATTATTGTTGTTTTCTTATATAACACCACCAATCTCTTTCTGTAATAGAGAGGATTAATAAAGAAACTCCACTAAAGATAGAGTTGACATGCAGTGTTAAAAGAGAGGCATTCAGTTTACAATGAAATACAAGATACTGTATATCCTCCAAAGCCCAAACCAGTCAATGAACATGTTGCTCAGTAAATTACTTAAACTAGTGTCAAAATCATTGTTGATTAAATTTTTGTTGATGCTCAACAACAAGTCTTGTGTACATACCCCAACCCTCAGTGTGTAGGCATACTCTGCCAACAACCTGGGACTAATGATCCTCCATTTGTGCTTGGTTTTCTTAAAGTGGGGGTCAGGAAAGAGGAAGAACATCTTGCTGAGCTAAAAGACAGGAGGGAACAAAGGGTCAGAAACAGTTAAATAAGAACAGAGTTGTGTTATTTTAAACTCTAGACCTTAATGTCATTCCCACACAAGATCAAAACAGAACATTGTATTTTTATCTGCTTAGACACTATGGTGCTAAAATGTGTGAACTATTTTGTGGTTGGTTATTAAGCACTGTGGATCACAGAACTAGAATTTCTATCTTTTTTTTTATTATAAAGTTCTCTGTCTCTGTTTTTGACAAGTGTACAAGTGCTGGCTCCCTTGATATCAGTCTGAGTGATACATTAAAAACCGCTGCAGTAGCCCATAGGTTACTGAATGTGATTATACGAGGACAATGCCTATAGCTATGCCTGCTAAGTAGAGCTAGCTAGGTGGCACGTTAGTGGGTCATCACTGGGGGGTAGTATCTGCATTGGAAAACAAAGCTGCTGCTACCAAAAGCGAGCAGAGTCAAGTTGAGTTGAGCAGATACCAGGTGGTGGAAAAGGGTTTCAACAAGTCATAGATCACCACAGTGAACTGGAATGGATAAATGGCGCCTTACACTGTTCTATGCAAGTCAAGTCATTGTTGTGAAATCCTGGATTTATTGTGCAATCCATATAAATTGATTCAATCCTTATGCTAAACAAGAAGAAGGTAATTAGTTGTAGTCAGAAACATTTGGCCTCCTTAGGCCCTTGGCAGTGTGAGGACAGACTGTCAGCTTTAAATTAAGATTACTACAGGCTGTGTTGGATGAGCTGTTAAAGAACTAGAGACCTTTAGTATAGGAGCTCAAATTTAGAGGAGACAATAGTCTGGTACTCTGAGTTTACAAAAAAAAAAAAAAAAAAAAAACAAAATTGGGTATGCAGATATACAGTAGTCCTGCTTTGTCTAGGTTTTGAGATATCTGATTTAGAAATTTAGTCTGTGGTACTTACAGGACAGAAAAAGGTATTTAAAGATGTTGAGGTTTTTCATAGGTAACTCCACTGAAAACTGTTCACAATGTGTGAATCCCAGTTTCCTTATTTTATCGTTCCTCTGTCCTCGATCTTCACTTGAGCTGGAAGTTGTTCCTATCTGCCACAATGAAAGACATCCTAAAGCTCTTATTTCTGTTCTGAGGAGTGAGAACCATGGAGTGAGGAGGCTGCCTGGAGGAACTATAACTGAGGATATACAAGTGCATCCTTCATGGAAGTCTGTTACAGATTGTCATGGCCCTTTATCATAAATCAGTTTATGACTGGACACATGAAGGATCAGAGGAAGGACATCTCATCTCATGTAATCTTCTCCTTGCATCTTAACGATACTTGTTTAATTTCATAACTCAAACTGCATTCAGATACTGCTGGGGTCATGATAATGATTCAGGACTGGGCTACCTAATCTGACAAAGAGCAGTGAGAGTGACTGTATTCATCAGGCTGCAACCTCCCATCAAAGTTGTATTCATTTTTATGATCTCAAGAGCAACTATTTCTGGAAGGACTGCTCAGTGGTGAGCATATTAAGCATCCCCACCCCCAACACCTATCAAGTGCAAGACAGACTCATATCTGTTCTATTAGCTGCAAACACACAGGCGCAGACTTACCTGTCCTTTAAGAAAGAAGTTGGGGAGGTACTTCATTGCATTGCTGCGAAGGCAGGCGATGTTCTGGTAGCATCCAGGTTCAGAGGCACGCAGTGATTGGATACGATCCTGAACATAATCAGACACTTTGACCCGAATCTCCAGGCCCAGGATGAGCTTGTCTGGGAAAAGTGGTGATAATTCCACTGAGAGGTAGTAAGACAGAGACACATGAACAAAAGGGACATGAAGTCAATACAGAGTTTGACTGTGAGCTGTAAAATCTGTAGGTGGTCAGATCACAGACATCGCTACCTAAAAGCCCCCCATAGCCGCATCCAATGTCTGCAAACTCGACTCGCGGGGTCTCTTTCTCAGATGGGCTGCCAGTAAAGAACTCTGGATACAGTTTGGACCAGTCCATTTCCTCAGGACACACAGGACTGAGGAGGACACAGAAATACTTTCAACAGTATTCACTGTCCAGGTGAGGAAATAACATATTAACATTGTTTTCTGTACAGCATCCAGAGAAACAACAATATCCTTTCTGGAGACATTGTGCTGCTGAATAGTGACATTTAATTTTACATCACTGTTGTATTGCACTAGAGTGAAATCAGAAGTGTAAGACAATTATCTCAAATCCTAGGCTAAACAAACGGTTTACCCTGGTAACAACCATTAGGGGAAACAAATTACAAATGTTTTCTTGGTTGTTTGCTACTTAATATTCTTGTCAACGTCAACATTAATAAATGTACAGATAAGACTGACAATCTCGAGAAAAAAAGTTAACAGGCACAGTGTAATGTAATGTTAGATATTAAGTAAGTTAGAACACGTAAATATCTCTCACTATTCAAACGTGTGAAACGACATCGGGTTTGAATGGGCTCGCTGTCTGTAGTAACGCTTCTGAGGCATTGACGAACTCATGTTGGATTAAAATAAAGCCTTCGCTATCAAAAATATTCAGTCTATCACCTAATTATTAAAACACACACGTATTCACTTCTCACTGCCGATACTCTGCCTGAGAATCACGTTTATTTCTAGTTCACTAAATTGTGAGTCGAAGGATTTTTACGTCATTACCAAGCGACTTGTCAGGGTTGCCAGGTTTGTTGAAAGATAATCTTTTTTTCTTTTTTTGCTTTATTAAAGTGTATGACAGTAGTAGTTATACATAAAGTAAATAGACCATAAACAAAGGTCTATAACATAAAATAAAAAAACATAAAAACGAAAACAACATCGAAGCAGACAATGTAAGTATGAAACTTTTAGGCCAGCGGGTGACTTAATAGGTTAAATTAAGTAAAAACATTCAAGGATGTACATGTATTACAAATTTCGATAGTTTTTTTATTTTCGCTCTTCAGGATGGAAGAAAAATAATTTTTAATTTTGCATAACAGGGCAGGGAAGAAGGGTTTAGATTTAGAGAATTTGCATTTGTGAATATAAAATTTTGCCATAAGTAGAATAAAATTAATTAAATGTAGCTTGTCACTTTCATTTCTATTATTGTTATACAGACCAAATAAAACATGTTCCCATTTCACAGCAAGGGAATAATGAATTTTGGAGGTGATGAATACAGAGATATTCTGCCATAAATCATAACAAAATGGACAATCCCAAAACAAATGAACAGTAGTTTCTTCTGAGGCATTACAGAAAACACATGATGTATTAATAGACATATTAAATCTTGTAAGATAATGAGCAGATGGGTAAAATCTGTGAATTAACTTAAAGGAGACCTCTCTTATTTTGTTATTGTTGAAAGATAATCGTCAGTCACTGTTGCCAACTTAGCCAATTTGTTGCCATATTTAGCGAATTTTAAGACCCGTTTAGCGACTATTATAAAAAAGCGATTCGTGACAAATCTAGCGGCTTTTGGACAGAGTACTTTATTCCCCTTCTCTGGTTGGCAGAAGGGAGAGGAGCAGAGCATTCAGTCGGTGGCACCCTGGTTACACTCCACAGGCAGAGACATGAATAAGCTGCGTATGTGCCAAAGCTTTTTTTTCTCTTTGTTAAATGTCCATTTTTTAAAATGATTGTTTTGGGGATCGATTTTTTAAATAGAAATACAATTCAATACAAATAGCTGCATCAGCTGCATAACAGAATGCATCAAATAAAAAAGTAAGCATAATACATCAAGTTAGGATAGGGTATTAACAGACAGGACAAGGTGAACAAACTACCAGAGGTAAAGTTATAATGATATAAAATTTAAAAACTTGAAAAGGTCAGTGGTTTTGGTTAGTTTTTTAAGTGTGACAGTGTTTGGAAGTAACTGCTCAGATCAGATTGTTGGAAAGTTGTAAAAGACAGTGATTTGTTGAGAAATTTGATTTTGGCCAAAATAATGAGCAGGTTAAAAATATATTTTTCATTGCTAGAGAAATGGGGCTTGTCAAAATGTATGTAAAATTTTAGAGGAAAGCTCTATAACTTTGTTGGACAACACAAATTTGTAGGGTACTGTCCCATATTTGTCCATCAATACTCTGATATGTCCTTTTATGTTTTACAGCTATTGTTGTTCTTGGAGTGAGGTAGTTTCTTATCAAGGTTATGTGAATCTTTTGTCAAGGATAGAAATACCATTAACAGAGATAGCTAATAGAGTTGTGTGTATTTGAAAATGAGCATGCTAAACAATGTGTGCCAGATGGAAGTACATTAATAACAGTATTATACTCCTGTTGTACATGGACCCTGTACTTTTCTATGAAGTGCTCATATGAAAATAGAACTTCACAATTAAACTGCTGCTTTACAAGTAGAATGTTATTGTTATACCAATTTTCAAAGAACAAGGATTTGTTATTGTAAGTAATGATGGCATTCTTCCATAAAAATATTTAAGTTAAGACATTGTAAACTTTGTTATCACAATGTTATATTACAGTTATCATTTACTTCTGTTACGTTTGATTCAACTTCTTCATAATGTTTAATTGTGGTGTGCAGCAGTGTGTTTGTTGAATGACATATGCTGCATTTGCTTTAAATTTTGATTTTTCTGTCTGAATTTATTGATAAGGTGTTATTTAAGTTTGTATGGAAAAACAGAATTCACTATGTCAAAAATTCTGTGATGGTGAAAACAGTTAACTCTGGTAGCCTCTTTCAAAACTAGGTGGTCTTCCATTTTCGCTTATGTCAAACTACAATGTTTAGCCTGCTCCCTAATTTAAACACATTTTCTCTCCACATAAATTTCTAAATTGGAATAACCCCCCCCCCAGACCAGTTCAATAATAACCTACTTTTTCTAAAAAAACTTTTTAATTCTGAAGGTCTTTTAATGTCTTTCTCTCAATTTCTGTCTGTTTACAATATCACTGTAAGCCCAAACGAATCTGTTACTGTAATGGATGCCATTCCTAAAGGTGTGATGATGTTATTCAGGAGCAACACAGATACTTCTCCTTTGCCCGGTCCCGGTCCAACTGTTTATACCAAGAACCACATCTTGTTAAATCCTCCATGTTGGGTAAACAAAATAAAATGCAAAGCTTTTCTCTGAGGTCAACAAAGTCTTTATTACAAAACATGAATTTCATATGAAGGTATGTATTAAACAATTGTGCCATGTGTCAGCGTTTTATTGGGCTTTTTAATATCTGTGCTACTTCAAGTGAAAGCAGCTCAAATCTACCAGATAATGGTGGAACCTCAGGTATAGGCTATGGAATAAATTCAGGGGCAGAGGTCATTGCTATTGTTACATAATAAGCATGGTCATTTTCACTGCCAAAACACTCTACTGTAAAATTGCATCCAATATTTTCATTCTTCTTTAGAAAGCAAAACAAAACACAGTTCAGTGGCATTTTGTATCATTTATGGTAAAAAAAAATATGATCGGTAACTTTAAAAATGAAAATGTTTTCTTTTTTTTTAAAGAAATCATTTTTCCTTATTAGTAATGGCTTCACAGTCTTTGTTTTTAAAGTCCAGGATAAAACTGCATGAAATATTGTGTTTCTCATTGTCCAGTCTGAGCCCAAGGAGAATCTGCAAACCAGTTGTGAGACTCGATGATAATGGCAGTGTATATGTGACATGAGATTAGGATTTTTAAAAATGCCATCCTAATCAACACCTTTATTTCCTAATAAAGCACACAGCACACCTCTGTCTGTCAGTTTCCCAGCCTCATACTGTGGTCACCCTCATGACCACCTCATGGTTGTCACTGTGCAGGTTGTTGGATCTTATCTGACTGAGGATGTGCAAAATAGTGTAGCCACAGTGGTGATGGAGAATAGTCCTGACTTGCCGATTCGTCCTCTGTCCGCTGTCTGTGACAGTGTGAGAAGAGCCGCTCTCAACCTGACCAGCAGCTTTACTGCTGGAACTGATCGGGTCACGTAAGTCCTTTGCTTTCTCGTAATTCAACACTTTCCACTGCTGGTTCACAGCCTGCCAGCGCTTAAAGATCCGGTAAACAGATGATCCTTCATGAATTATAAGGCCTGGACATAAAGGGCAAAGGGTAGGGGTGGTCAGGAGTAGGAAACAGTCGGATATAGACAAAATTATACAGACCTGTAAAATAAAGAGTTACTGCCAAATCTGTGAAGATGACAATCCATTCATATTGATATTCAAGAGCCTGTGAAATAACACTACATGGTATCTGTCAGTATCTGTCTTACCTATACAAACTATGTCCATAAAACCATACATGCCATAGCATATCTGAAAGAGAAGGTCCTGCCGCTGCCATTTGGCTGAAGGGCTGAGTGAGGACCACACCAGCCAAGAAACACTGGCGATGAGGAACAAAGAGCCCAGGATAATGGCTGCAATCTGCACCTTCTCGATCACAGACAGAGAGATGGCCTGCCACTAGAAGCAAACAGTGAAACATAAAAATGTACCGAGCCCCTGTATTGGTCATGGAAATTGCAAAATGCTTCTTGATTATATAAGATAACAGACACAGTGAATCATATTGTTGCACACAAATGTCCCTCTAAAGGGCACTGTGCTTCAGTATAATCAGTGAGCTTCACAGAGAATTGCAATGTTTGGGTACTGCAGGTTTAAAACTTCATTTGAGAAGAGTCCTGACTCAATAATGAACTTAAACGCCCTTTCTTTGCAGTGATTTCCTGTGGCAGGATACATTGCTGATGCTTTAGTATGCCGTTAGTGTGAAGGTTATTATAAGCCTAGCTTTCTAACATGTATAGATTTCTGCCACTGGTTTGAGAGGACTCAAAAAAGATTTCAGTTTCATTCCTGAAAATAATTTATTACCCCGATTCACTCTGGGTGCAAATCACTGCACCTTCAGAGTGTCGTGGCTACAGCATTATGTCGTTCCTTCCCAGCTACACACAGATGTTTAGGTGGAAGTGTTGCACTGAATTGCACAGGTGTGCCTAATAAAGTGGCTGGTGAGTGTACAGTGACCATTAACGATGAAGACTAAGACCCTGGCTTTACCTGCAGTGGGTTTTTGGTACTGATGGCCAGGACCTGGTACTTGAAGTAGCAGAGCTCACAGCTCCAGGAGCCTCTCTCGCTGATCCAGTGGATTAGGCAGGACTGGTGGGTACAGCGCACAGAGCCATCACAGCGACACGGACTCAACAACTCCCCCTGCAGAACACAGACAGCAGCTGCATGAGTCATAAAAACATTCACAAAGGCTGCTGTTATTCCATCTGCCAGTTTGGGAATTTGATTTTATGACAATGACAGTAAAAATAAAGATAAACATTGTTATCATAAATGGCCCAACTCAGAAATCCCCAGTTCTGACAGCGCTACACCCAGACTTTATCTACTGAAGATACAGTTTGAAGACATTGTATTAGGTGTTCTTTGTGTCATGAACCAAGCTGGGGATTAAAAAAGAGCTCAATAAGTCAGCTTGGGGCAAGTATCAATACATATATTCTAAATAATTGGACACTATACTGTAAATATACAAATGAAATAAGTTTAGAAAGGTCAGAAAAATGTGACTGACTTGGTGGTGAATGTAACATTTCACATCAATGTCTGTCATATTATTGTATACATTACATCTGATTGTGCTGCGTTGCCCAGTCATCAGATAACAGTATTCTGGATGGAAGATTTGGGAGCAACAGTCTGCTCCCAGCTTGACACAAGCAGAAATACTAGAGTCAGTACAGGACACAAATTCTGATAAAAGCTTCAGGCAGTTGGTCCCCCAATTAATTATGGCTAATATGGGAATAAAGGCAAGTGCACCTCATTATAATGAAGATATGTCAAGCACCATGTGAAATGAATGCATAGTTATGTGCTGACTTGAAAGGAAAAATTGATGTTATCAGTAGAAATCATCTAAGCACTACCGCATTAGCATTCAAAGCACACACATGCCTTTAAATATTACACTATAAACATTCAAAACATGAAAAAACGTTGGGGTTGATGGTACTCTTAACATGACATATTCCACTATCTGCTGCTTAATGCTTTTATCTGGATACAATTTGCTTTGCTTGTGTCACTTTCCTTCAGCCTCAAAAGAAATCACAGGACATCTGCCGCAGGTTTCTGCTGTCAGTATGAGACTCCCTAAGGCCCTTGGACTGGCAGTGTTTTCACACATCTCACTTTATTTTCTGTCTGACTCTGGGTGATGTGTTAACTCTTTAATTAGTTGGATAGCTGGAGAGGAAACAACAACTTTTTTCAGACCTCTAGAAAAGTCTCTCTCTTCTAGGTTGATTTCATCTACCAAATGTGATGTGCTGAAACCCCCATGTTTTTGGACAAGGATGATGTACATATAAGAATAATAAAAACAAAAATAACACTCAGCTTCTGTGTGTCCACACCCACTGTTCTCCTTCCTGTGAGTAGAAACCACTGTGTTTGACCTCCCTGTAACCTAAAGGTTTGATTCAGCAAGTTATTGAACTCATCCTACCTCCCATCACTCTGAATATTATTGAGTATAAATAAGTAAAAATTGTCTTTTATTTTAAGGCCTCATTCTCTGAAACCTTTCTTTACTCTTTATTAAAACTGGCCCAACTTTGTGGATCAGATGCTGACTGATACAATGAGGACTTCACAGGCTCACATAGTAAATACAAAGCTGCTCCTGTATCTCTCCACCCTGTTCCTAAGTGATGCTCTTGGTCTGCCTAATGCAAATTTTACATCATTACTGATAGATTAATTCCCCTTTTCAATCTTAGTCAATGTGAATGTTTACTTTGCATACTTGATGCACAATTTACAGATATCTGTTTTGTATCGATGTATAATGACACATTTTCATCATGAGTTTTTAAAACAAATGGCTTAAAAGAAAATTCCACTTATTTTACATAATTTTATATCAGGCCTAAATGCAACTACACTGTAACAGAAAACCTGCACTATAAACTTTATTTCCCAGGCTCACAAAAAGATGACTGGGTAAAATAGGGTCCAATGTTTTTGCTACTTGGCCCATAGTAGGGACTAAAACTATATCTCATTCACTGCTGCTTCAGTTAAATGTGTCTCTTGCAGGTCCTCCAGGTCGATGAAAGTGTAAATTGCTGGAGTAGGCCAATACTTTGAATGCACAAAGCAGATCAGCTGGTGCTAAAAGGTAGCTGGCCATAAAACCTATTCATAAAATATACAAGATATTATTAAAGGGGTTCGGAAGCGTTTCTGAGTGTGTTGCCAAGTTTGTTTTTCTGTAACGTCTTTTCAAAGTTCATTTTGCTGATGCCAGGCATTTCTACGGACCTGGCAGGACGACCTTCATTCACCTGAGCGCCACGCGTTTTGGAGCGTGAAAGCGCTTTGCCCTGATGAACTGCCAATGAGCAGATCAACACAGCAACACATTTAGCCATTTGTTTAACTGCACCTTCTCCGGCCCCTGGAAACAGATCCGGCACTGGGGTGATCGCATCCCGCTCTCTGAGAGACTCGGGAGGGATGTAGCGTTCAGGTCTCCCCCGTGGGCTTTGGCTCCTTCTTTATCTTCAAATGCCAGGCTGCGTGGCCGGGGGTCAGACCCATAATATTCCTCCTCATCGTCCGGGTGAGAGCAGCTCAGCGGTGGCCAGCCACAGCCTCCTATGGCGAGCCCTCGCATCTCAGTCTGCGTGTCCGGGTCTGGGTCCGTATTAGTCCTCCTGCTTGATCCAGAGCGCATCAGTAGTAACACTTTGAGTTCACTGAAAAACATCCGGATCCGATACTTAAACATTCTTCAGCAGCTTTACACAGACACAACTGCTCTGTGAAACAAAACAGCCTTTAGTTGAACTGTAAATTGTAAATTCTTTTTATTATAATTATTGCACCCGAACCCTTTAAGCAGACATTCTATTGATTAAATAAAAAGCATGCAAAACACACGATAAGCTATTATCAGCCCATAGCGCTGCATATCCTGTTGTTATAGCATGTGCAGCTCAACCCAGCCAATAGGAAGGGATTGTTTTTCATGGATAGAAAGGTTTTCTGTCGGGATTCAATGGTGGCTGAGAGCCACGGACTGTGGGGGGCCAAGGCAGAGGTGTCCAGCAGCATCCTCATGCCTACATTCTCATCTGGTTGTTAGTTACTATCCCGAGGTTCAAACGGGGCTTTTTTGGTGCTTTAAATCAGGAGGAACTGTTCAACGTTTGCAACAAAATCGCGGAGTCTCTTCCTTAACACGAGGTGACAAGCGTGTATCCTTTGTTGCCTCGCAGTGGTAGAATCAGTTAACAGTCTCCTCTTCTTCGATGTAGGGTTTTAATCCCACACCTTTCTAGGTCCGACAGCCAGTTACAAAGTTACAGCCTAGCGGTGTTGGGTGTTAGAGGAGAAAAAAGTGATCAACAGTACATATCCTCGACAACTTGCAATGCCAGGTCCCTTCTGTTCCCATCCATCTCTGCGCCACAACCCAGGAATAATGAGGGGATGCCAGATATGGATTCCTGCAAACACAAAATGAACCGATAGCAGTCTGCAACTGCCCCTTCCGGTTTGTTAAAGACATCGCACATCATCATCATCATCATATCTTCACCAAATCAAATCAAGGCCTTTGTAAATCCGCTGACAATACAATGCCACACATGGCAGGCTGTAGCAACGTCGCTGTTCTCCTCCTCATAAATCTCTCCTGATGTTTAAACTTGATTTTAGTTGGTTTTCGGGCATACTAGCAGAAAGCCCAAACTTCGTGAGCTTCAGAGTAACAGACCGCGGTTTTCCATGGAGAACATCCACCCTGCGTGCGCTTGAGAAGAAGGGACAGCAGCGCACGGACACAGGCTGCTGTCCACGGTGCTGACATTCACGTGACGTGGAGGCCACGTGTTCATATTCATCGGCTGTTCGAGCGAGTGCTGTATGACACCGTGTGAGTGTGCGTGTGTCATAAGACTATGATAAACAGAACAAAGACTGGTTGAGACAGTAGGGACAGTGTGCACACAATAGAATCAGCACATCCACAGGCACACAGCACACTGGTCAGATAATTGTTTCCTCTGTGTATTATTAGATGAACAGATCGCCTCCGGTCATAAAGGCATCGTACATGTTCAATTAACTTGTTCTTTCCTTGAACTAAATGGCCAAAAATATAAACATGAAATAATCGCTCTGTCCAGCTTTTAGAGAATCAACATTCAATATCAAATGTCGTTAGCATGGTTTGTTGCACATGGTTTGAGACCTGTTTATACAAAATTCATCACAATATTTAGTCATAAAAAACATAATACATTTGGTAGAACAAAATGAAAATACCTTTATTGTCATTGTACATTTATAATGCTGCAAAATTGACTTTGCATCCCTGAGAAACTGAAGAGAACAAACATACACATTAATAAGAAGAAGGTGTTAGAAAGTGTGCTTTAAACTGTATTTTAAAAAGCAGCTCAAACTTGTATGAGCAAATATTACACCTGAACTCGTTTTTCAGTAATTATTGCTCATAACAGATGATGGTGGGGGTGGGGGTGGGGGGGGTAGAGATTGTTTTTGAAGCTTGAGATGTGCATTTTTATGGCTCTGTATCATCTCCCAGAGGGCAACATGGATGAAGAGGTGGTGGCAGGGGTGGGATGTGTCTGTCAGATCACTGCTGGCTCAGCGGAGGCATCGAGGTCTAGAGATGTCACCGAAGGAGGGCAGGGGCTGGCTGATTATATCCTGGGCTTATCACCCTCTGGAGAGCTCTCTTGTCAGCTGCTGGACAATGATCACCGCGCCCCACTGTGATGTAACACATTAGTATGCTCTCTGTGGAGCAGTGATAGCACAAGCAGCTACGTGGACAGGTTGGTTTCCTTTAACGTCCTTAAAAAGGAAAGCCAGTGCTGTGCCGTCTTCGCCAGTTCAGTAGTTATTTCTTTATCGTTATTCTTTGTTATTCTTCTCATTATCATTCAAACAATTAAATATTATAATATAGACATACAATAAATAAATATAGCAAGACTGTAATTGCTTTTACAACAAACATTTAGGTGTGACAATATGAAAGTAACTGGTGTAAATGATAAAATTAAGGATCATTGAATTGGAGCAAGTTAATGCTCTTAGGGAAGCATTGCTTTCCTTTAGATTCTTACCAGCCACTGGGGCAGTCTGCGCACCACTGTCACTGTACTACATCCCCATTTCTGGCCACAAGTACAGATCCTGACAGAAACAAGCTCTGAAGGACTGTATCCCAAATGCATTTGGGCAGGACACCAGAAGACATAAAGTATAATGGATCAACTGGGATTTTACTTATAAGGACGACCACAACTTCAAAATACAGGTTTTTCTCCATTCACATATTGTTTCCAAAACAGGCAGACATGTGCAGCTTGTTTGTAATAATTGAAGTCCATAAATGAACAAAAATAAAGAGTCAGTGAGCTCTTCACTGCAAGCCGCCCCCTTGGATAACAGGAAAAGTAAACACCTAGGGGTCTTGAAACACCACTCTGTGAAAGCATATAGAGGCCATCACACAGGATCCGCATCACCAAGGACTTTCTGACTGACTCTGGTTATGAGACTTGCAAATATCCACAAGTAAAGCACATGAAGAGTAATTGTGTGGATGCTTTCACTCTTCAGCTGGACACTGTGCTGATCATTCTATCATTTGAAGTCGGCCATCCTGTTCTTTTCATAAAACACTGAAAAAGTCTGACTTCCTTTGTTAATAGCCTTTTTCTAAATGATGCTTCAGAGGGTGTAGTAACAATCTTTTCCAACACTGCCTTGGTACAGATTGAATTTATTGTTGTAAGTCATCATCCAACAGTGGGACACCTGTAGGAACCGTTTATTTTCAAGGCTTCATTTATTTCCACTGCTAAGAAATACTGTGTATTTGTAAACACTTAAATGTCAGATTAGCTAATAACTACTTCAAAATGACTTATTAACCAGTTGGGTTATTAAATGTTTATACTATAGGTCACTGCTGATAAATGTTACATAGGGTATCCTACTTAAAGAAAAAAGAATATTTAGGCCTATATGTAGTAGGCTGTGTGAGATAAATAAGAAGCATAAAAGCATTTTCTTCTCTATTAAGATGCCACGGCTTCAAGTTCTTTGCATGTTGGTGGAGGTTTTAACTCCGCCTCTTCCAAGAGTTGCTAGAAGCAACAGGAAGCGATAACCCAAAAAGAGCCCTGGCTGGGGACAGAAACCAGCAGTGGAGGCCTACATCATACTGCTCGGCTGCCTTTTCCACACCAGAGCCACTGCTGGGCTGCAAAGTTCAGGCCGGACACGACCTGCCGCTTCTGACCCGGTTCTGGAGGAGTTAGATAGTACGTGGCAAGTTAGTGAACATGTCCTCATAAATCTGAAGTACCTGCTGCCACAGAGAAGAAACGGGCGAGGTAAGTAGGCTACAGCAAGTGAGCTGTCGGTTACAGGAAACTGATTATGATTTGTGCGTCTGGAACTTTAGCAGCGGTAATATGGCACTAGATGTGGAAGACATGCAGGCGGTGATGTGGCTCATCCGCTGCAGTCGGTGCTCTTTGTTTCCTTCCGCCACGTCGGTGGACATGCTGCTGAGGACGAAATGTCCCTGTGGTCAGTTCCTGCCACACTTTCTCACCAGTTTCATTAACAAAGAAGCGTTATGGAGGAGCACCACGTGTCGGGACCGCGCGTCTGTGCCCTGCTGTTCTCTGCCTCCGCCCACTGGACTTCCATGTCCGGCAACGTTTGAGTTGATCAAGTAGATAATTGAATGGACTGTGTCAGAGAGATATGGAAGTCTGTTGTATAATCAATACTGGCAGGCTCTGCTGGTGATCAGAGCTGCTCATACAGGCTGCCAGGTGAATGACACCAGTGTCAGTGAGGCCTCCAGGTGTTGTGCTAAAACCTGTGCCACTCTGGGGTGACAAGTCATACACAGTGTGACCCAGGCCAGGCCCAAGTCTTTATAGGGCCCTGAACCTTTCCAGGGGGCCTTAGCTACATGGAACTGAAAATAGTTCCCAGCACTGCCACTTCCTCTGGGACCAGAGGAGGTCTGACATGAAACCCTCAACAAGACGCATCATTCATTATGAGACAGTCACTCAATATATCCTGTAACCACCGTTTCAAACTGTCAAAAATGGGTATTTGCCTTTAAAACGCAGGTGTAGGTTGAAGTACATTACATAACAAACAAGTAGCCTAAAATTCAGCAGTTTGACATTTGTCAGCATAGGCCTGGATATTCACCACTTTTCACCCGCCTCTCTCTCTCGTGCATCTTCTGTACATCTCAGAATCTGTCGCTGTGCGGTTTCTCATGCACTCTGTCTGAGGAAAGCTGCAGTCTCACTATGAGCTGTGTATGGTAAACATATAATCAGCTGCCACATCACTTTTATTGGAAACCTCAACATCTGGGGCTATAGAGCCTATAAAATAGAGCTTATAGAAAGAAACATTATACAATGAGGTTTTAGGAGATATTGTCAAACTAAAAAAATTATTCAGGAGCTTCCTATAAAAGAAACAAACAATACATTTTACTAGTTATTATTCCTTTTGGTTTCACTGTTGTACATTTTGTTTTATATAAATACAAATATTTACTATGAACTACCTTAAACACTAATATATTATAATATTAAAAAAAACTTAGTTATCATCTTAATTATGACTGTACTTATGACTTAATTAGAAAATAAATGACTGTAAGGCTACTTTTGCCTGAAAAATGTGAATATCAGTATCTGCCATACAATCAATACTGAAAAGATGCATCGAAAAAGTCAGTTTTTCATTTAATTACTTACAACATTTAGCTCAAGGCTGTACCAAAGTCACAATTTGTATTTCTTACAGATACATGGGAACAAAGGCTGATTCTCGTCTGCAGACACTGACTCAACTTTTTTTTGTGTAAGAGGAAGAAATGTGGTTTGTTTACAAGAAATAATGCAACATCACTTCCTCTTACTAACTACATTTTATACTGACCACTTCAATAATTGTGGTTTGGCAGCCTTAAATGAAGTTCATTTTCATCACTATGTAATCCACTTTACTAAATACTTCAGATAGGAGTAACATACTAGTTGGGTTTTAAGTTGTACCTAAGTATCTGTCCCCATGAGACACTGGCTAGTAGAATAGTTGACTGCAGCACTGATGTTAGTTCCAGTAATTTTCTGTCTGAGAGTTAAAGTCGCTTATAAGGCTGCATCTAACAATTATTTTCATTACTGAATAATGTGCTAGTTATGCTATAGGGTGACTTATTCACTGATCGCTGTAGGTTTTACTACAACAAACAAGATGGGACCACACCATCAAGTTTGTTTTTTATAAATCCCACAGTTTGCTTACAATGTGGCATATGGCTTCTCTTGTGTGAATGGAGTGTTTATAAATGAGGCCACTGATATAAACAAACCAAATCTGATCTGGGTAACTTCTGTGTGTGGTCCTAAATCTGTTTCTTATCTGATCTCTGACTGTGCGACTGCTGTCAGAATAGTCAGATCAGAAATTGTGGATTTTTCAACGTCTCACTCCTCTGCTCTTGTGCGTATTGCCTGTCGTCGTCATTCAGTGTTGGCACCTCAAAAACTATAAACATGGAGGAGAACATCGCCAGCATGGAGGTCAGTGGAAAGATAAGGACGTTTCACATTTGTTCTACATTTCTTTTCAACCCAACCTGGAAGGAACATGTTGTAATGCAGCGGGTTTGAAGGAATTGCGCAATTTGACCATTGCACAAATGACATTATTGTTGTCATTCTTGTGTGCACAAGGCTGACATTTTAGTTAAATGTGCAAATGTGTGGCAGTTTTGGATCTCAGTGGTGTTCACGCCACTTACAGCCATGAATGTCAACCATCATCACAAAAAAATCTGACAGAAGGATCGGAATTTAGCATTAAGGTCTAATGCTAATGCAGCCTGAGCTAGCGATGTTAGTTGAAGATATTTATGTGGACCTACGTTTAATATACTCTCTAAGATTGACAAAATTGCATAATACCTGAGCAGCTTTGGATTATGTTATTCAACTGTATGAGATGCTAAAAAACTGGGCTTAGGCAGGAGGAGCTGAGCAGGCTTCCTCTTGTCCAGGCAAGGGTACCAAACTGGTATGACAGCTCAAAGGTAGACACTTAAACAAAGGGGAGGAAAGAATGAGATGGTGCCTGGCAGGAGACCAAAACAGTGGATGGAGCTGGTGGACGGGCCAGAGGAAAAGCTGTTTAGTTTGAGTTGTTGAAGGTGCTTCCAGTGCTGGTAAAGCGGTGGTCTAATTCTCATGTCAGGTGTATTTGCTTTAAAATGTCCCAGCCAGTGAGTCACTGACTTCTTTGAGGAGGACAGGTCTTGTCCTGCAGCTCATGGATTATAAAACATGGTGAATAAAGAGGAGTGCTTTCTGGCTATGACTATGAATATGTCACACTTTTCAACACTTGGCACACCAAAGTTCCTGGAGGGCTCGTATGAGGCTTCACTCTAATAGAAGCCAGCACAACGAGCCGTAAAATGCTGTACATTGAGCTATAAGGATGGTTGACTTCTGCTGCCAGAGTAGTTGAAATATACAGAAAAGCTTTTTATTAGCTCCTCCTCTCCACTGAGAAGGTGACGTGTGGGTGAACCCCACAACATCTCTATATGTTAAAGCACACACCACTATTTGTACAGAGGATGTGAAATTGTTGTCACACTGAGTTGAATGTTGGGAAAATGCACCATTTTGTAAGGATCACGCTCATTATCTATCATAGAGCTATACAATACATAATCTATGTTAATTTTAAAAAAAGCTATCCCATACAGCTGCATACAGTACCGGATACTTCAGCTACATCCAAGTGTCCATTTTGTCTTGAGTTTGAGTACAGACAGGACAGAAATAGATTTATCTGCAGCGCTTGTGTTATCTACCAACAGCTGCTAGCCAGCGTTAGCTCCTGAACTGAGAGCTGAGGTCAGTGTGCAGACATGTTTTAGTCTGTCACTCTCTCGATGGGGTCTCTAGGTCCACTACGAGTTAGCTACAATCAGCTAAGGTTATTCATTTTGAATGACCACAATACTCCCCACCAAAACAGTGTCCCCTCTTCCAACATTACAACAAGGGTGACATGCATTCACATTCTCCACATTAATGGGTGAAAGGACAACATATTTTTAAAACGGGTCACATCTGGTGATAAATCCAAAAAGAATTGTCGCCCAACTCTGCGGCTCCCCCTATACTTTATGGAGCATTTTAGCATCTTGTTTTGGTGTTTTGGACAACAACCACACGGTTCTAACTGTAATCAGAGACGTTTTCAGCCGCAGCAGGCAGCAGTTTTCAGCAGAAAAGCTTGGATAACTCCACGCTAAGCTACTAGCCCAGCACCAAAAGACAGAGATAACATTAGCCGCTAGCTAAAAAGCTGGCTATTTCCCAAAGGAGTTGGTGAAGAAAAAAAAAAAGAAAATTGATTTGTCCAAATTAATGCTAGTGATGCTTTGTGTCGGTCTAAACAGACACCTGATAGGAAACTGTGTGCTAGCATGTTCACTGTAACATGGTGATAATACTGTATGTCAGTGCCAACAGCTGAACAAAGAAGCAAGTATGATAGTGTTCTCTGCAGCTTGGTAGTGTTGCATGCTTATCTCCTTGCTGGTGATGAGGTGATAATATAAAAGTGCAGTCATACCCACATTACCCACTCCTAGTAGCTGAAGCAGTGTTTTTATAATTGCAAATGTTGTACATTCAGTGCCAGAATGGCCAAGTCAGCTCCTTGGCACATCTCCCACGTTGTTGAGCTGTATAGCATCCCTCTCTTTGACACTGCCTGTCCTGTATACAGCGGTGCTGTAACCACTACACTCTGGTTGACAATGTGAAGCAGTCTGTTTTACAAACTGAACTTGAGCAGGACAAAAAAAACCTCTTGTCCTCTTGCAGAATGCAATGTTGCATGTGAAGTAGTACCACTGAGAACTTTCTCTCCTTGGACACTTGTGAGGGTCAGCAATTTACTGCTCGGTACGCTGCCAGCTGCTGTGACTGATCGCGAAATAAAACTGTCTGTGTGTGTCTTCCACACACCTGCACTCCTGCCTCTCCTCGCATTGATGCATCCTGCAGCTGAGTCACTGAGAAGTCCTGCAGTGGCAGCTCTTTGCTTACAGACTGGGGCCACTTGGGTGCAAAAGGCTTGAATAATTTTGAATAAATAAAACAGAAGATAGTTGTGCTACAGACAAAATTAGACACATTTCAAGGGGTTTTACAGAACCTATGAAAACCTGTGGTGAACAGACTTTCATGTAGTCATTCACAGATGTTTGAGCACAAGCTGGTGAAGAGCATCTGTTGGTCTGAACAAATAGATTTCCATGAAATTTTGTAGATATTTAGGGTCAATACACTAGAACTGACACTTGTCACAAGCCAGCTCATAGCCAGTGACAAAAAGGGGAGTCAGAACCAGGTTTTAGCGCCAATTTAAACGGTTTATTGAAATAAAAGTATAAAGAGAAACGATAACACATATGGGATGTGAGTATCAGTCAAATCAGTGGTGCGTACAGTATAAGAATGACTGGAGTATTGTGTGTGTGTGTGCGCATGCTGTCGATGCGGAAGTCAACAAACCACCAAGCCCAGGCGACATGGATCTTAGAGGGAGCGAAGAGGAAGAGAGAGAGTGAACAATCAGTGAAGGCTGACTTAAACAATCTTGGCTGAGACTTACACAGGTGTCGCTATATTAACTATATGACCCAGGCTACCTGTAGACTGCTGCAGGTAGAGCAGCAAAAGAGCAGGAAGAGGGCAATAGCAACAAAATGTTAGTGACTCTGGTGATCCCATGACATTTTCTCTGGCAACACCACCTGTTTTTCACTGAAATGTCTTAACTATTGTATGTATTGCTATTTGTAACAACTTTAATGATTAGGTTTACTGAGGAGGAGGATGAAAAAGAGAAGTTTTCCATTGTTGTACTTGTCCATAGAATTCACAGGGTAACTGGGTGATAGAGGACAATGAGAAAATAAGTTTTGTTTAAATTCAGATAATACAACAGTGCATTATCTTCATTTGTTGGCATTCTGCATTTAATTCCTGTGTCATACTTTGTCTCTAAGTCTGAGCTTGGTCATGGCCCATGCCACCAGTATCCAGTATGAGCCAGTGGCAGAGATCGGAGGAGGCGCTTACGGGACTGTTTTTAAGGCCCGAGACATACAGAGCGGACAATTTGTTGCTCTAAAGAGTGTACGTGTCCAGACAGACCAAAATGGCCTGCCAATCTCCACAGTCAGGGAGGTGGCTGTATTGAAAAGGCTGGAGCAGTTTGACCACCCAAATGTGGTCAGGTAAGACCGCTATCCAAGAGTTTTGCAGTGTCCCGGCCTGTATTCCACTCCACTGTGAACAGCTCCCACAGAATCCACTGTTTTCATTGCACACGTCAGGCTCATGGATGTATGCGCCATCCAGAGGTCGGACCAGGAGACTAAAGTCACTCTGGTGTTTGAGCATGTGGACCAAGACCTCAAGACGTACCTCGAGAGAACTCCAGCTCCTGGATTATCTCCTGAACGCATCAAAGTGAGAAACAATATTTAATACAATGTAAACAGCAGACTTTGTCAAATAGGTCACAAGGAATAAACACTGTCGTAAGGAAAGGATAGCGTTTTGCTTTTTAGGCCTAAAAGCTCTAATTTGAAGCTGTTTAAGTATTTAGTTTCAGTAAAAATGTGCCTGTATGTGTTTTTTGCAGGACCTGATGAGGCAGTTGCTGTGTGGTCTTGCATTCCTTCACTCTAATCGTGTGATGCACAGAGACTTGAAACCAGAGAATATTCTGGTAACCAGTCAGGGCCAGGTGAAACTGGCTGACTTTGGACTGGCCAGGATCTACAGCTGCCACATGGCCCTCACCCCTGTGGTAGGAACCCACCTGGATCATGTCAATAGTTCCTTTCGCTGTCTATACAGTAATTTCCATTCCACTTCAAAATACTTTTTTTTTTTTTTGCGTTGATGAACTCCATGTTTGTGTCTGGCAGGTGGTGACACTGTGGTATCGGCCTCCTGAGGTTCTGCTACAGTCCAGTTATGCCACACCTGTGGACATCTGGAGCACTGGCTGCATCTTTGCTGAGATGTTCAGGCGCAAGTGAGTCAGAAGAATAATATTCAGACACAAAAAGACAAACAGTGCATTTATGTTATTTACTTTTTATATTGAGAATATAACCTGATTTTGAGGAGAGGGACTGTGGGCAAAAGACCAGTGCATTAGATTTCAGTGATGATCTGATTCATTAAGTTAGAAAGTAGCAGTATCTTTTGCAAGGTGGAGGCCAGGGCTGATCAAGTTTCAAATTGTGTTGCCTCACACACAAATCCGCTCTTTACTTTACCAGACACTATGTTTGATTTGCCGTGATTTGTAAAGTAAATTTTGAGTGTAACCACAGCTTGGACTATGTTCACTGGCACAAGTGACCTTTATACTGCACGTAAATCAGGACCAGGGCTCATGTCTAGCCTAGTTTGTTGTTAAGGTTAGGTTAGTTTAGGTTACTAAAACACTTGGTTCAGGTTCAAGGAAAGGTTGCGGCTTAAGTCTTAGCCCGTCTTCTGCTTTAAGTCGATGCTGATCACGATCCTTCCCTCACCTTAACTACGCCGTTTGCAACAAAATCATAAAAACGGTTTTCATGTTTTAGTTTCCATAAAAGGGTAATGTAGTGAAAACAAATAACTGACAGTGAACAGCTTGCATGTGAACGTTTCCACATACTGATGATTAAAAACCTCCTGCTTTGGGTGTCTTTCATCAACTGTTTGTACGCTCATTACCTAGTGATGCGTGTCCAGATTTGATTTCTGACACAACCCTGCTGAGTTTGCCAGCATTTCAGGAGGGTTCAGATTTTATCTGCAAATGGATCACGTTACGAGGTTATCCGTGGCGCTGGGGAAATACGGTTCGAGCTTCAGACTGTCGGGAGGCAAACTGGCAAAAAGCTGCTGGGATTTGCTACACAAATAATATTACAGCCAACTCAATTATTTCATTTAATTTTTACCCCTCTTCAAGAAAGTGTTTTGTGCCTGGGCCACTTGAGAGTGATGTGTTGCCAGACTTATTTGCCGCATTTTACAGATCAGCTGAGAACCAGGGCAGTTCAACTCAGTGTTATACCCAGCAGCTCCATCTACTGGTAGAAATGACACATGGCATGAAGTCTTTGGTAAAGAGATTCATGCCTGGAAATCACTGCTTTGTATGGTGTTATAACAGTGATAATATATTGATACGTTGGTACAGCAGAAGTACTGTGTTATAATGTCTTAGTTTTTAGCATCAGGATTATTATTAAACTTCTGTTGGTTGATCTGGGTGAGATGATGCAAAGTTTTACAAACAGTAGAATCACTGAACATAGTGCTCCATGTGCCAAGATGCTAATCTGGGTCTAAAAGACATCGTGTTACTGTTTGCCTGCCGGTACCAACTGAAGCTACAGAGATGTGATCGTAAGCGAAGTACCAAAGTAACCACCAACAGGTCATAAATCTGCCTTTTAACATTGGTTCTGTTTGTTAGACCTTTGTTCTGTGGAGAATCAGAAGTGGACCAACTTGGGAAAATTTTTGAGTGAGTATTTCCATCACATTTACCTGACGAGGAGATGTATCGGTAGATGATCCATTATATACTAATTCACTGAAAATGATATATTATTACAGAGTTATTGGCTTGCCACCAGAAGAGGAGTGGCCGACTGATGTTACACTGACAAGAAAAAACTTTCCCCCCAACATGCCACGGCCAATCGCTGACTTTGTTCCAGAGATTAGCGAGCAGGGGGCGCAACTATTGCTGGTAAGATTTGGCCATGATTTGAAAACTCAAATGACCAGTAATTGGTTTATTTTCAGATAAACAGAATCAGGACAGTAATAGACTCAAGAAGAAATTTCCTTACTCATAGTCTGGTGATATTCACCACAAGCCACAAGAATTTCACTGGTGCAATATTGGAAATTCCTGGGACTGAACCAGTGAGTTAACCAGACTTTTCAAAGTAGACAGGATGTTTACATTACCAGCCAAACATTTGGACACACTTTCTCAATTCAGTGAGAAAAGTTTGACCGGTGGTGTAATTCTGCTCAGTATAATGTAGAAAATGTAGGTGAAGCTAAGGAGTGATATTAGCTCACTTTTTGTAACTATTTATTGCATCTATCTTCTTTGAGTTGTTTGACATTTTCAGCCAATAACTTCTTTTTTTATTTTTGTATGAATTAAAAAAAAAGACATAACATGTTAATTAATGAATATTACAGATGTTGGTAAGTGGATTTTGTGACCTTTGGACAGAGCCAGGCTAGCAAGCCCTTACTGTTTTAAAGTCCTTATGCTAAGCTAAGCTAACCAGCTGATAGCTCCAGCTACAGGTGTAGCATTCAGACATGAGAGCAGTGTTGATCTTGTTATCAGATTTTCAGCATGAAAGCACATATTTTCTGACACAGTTCTAATATCCTGCTATTCTTTCCTCCACAGAAAATGTTGACGTTTGACCCCTTGAAACGAATATCAGCCCTGAATGCACTAGAACATTCCTATTTCCAGGATGGGGAGACATTGAGTCAGACAAAAGCTAAAGTGATGCAATGAAACATGCAGCGAGAGGTAGCTGTGTCTAAATTTAGACCTGACCTAACCATAAGGAGTTTCACAATCATTTAGTGCACTGCCATTCGAGACTTCTGGTTTTATGCTTTGGAATTTTTTTTGTTATTCCTGCATTTAAACATTGCTGTATTTAAATCATGTGGAAATGAAAGAATAGTTTCCAGTAGACCCATATGGCACAACGCCTGGCGTTTTAAGGTAGAGCATCGCCAGCATGGAGGTCAGTGGAAAGATAAGGATGGTTCACATTTGTTCTGGATGCTGTGGCCTTCATAGTCACTTCTGCCCTGAAATAACAAAATAAACTTTTTTTTTTTTGAAGGACTGAAAGGTTGTGTTAAACATGTTTTTAGCACTGCAACTACAAATGAATAAAATATAGTTTTAACCACACTCAGACTTCATTTGTATATTGCTGTACAGACTGCATGTTGAACAAATGTACAGTGCCTTGCGAAAGTATTCGGCCCCCTTGAACTTTGCGACCTTTTGCCACATTTCAGGCTTCAAACATAAAGATATAAAACTGTAATTTTTTGTGAAGAATCAACAACAAGTGGGACACAATCATGAAGTGGAACGAAATTTATTGGATATTTCAAACTTTTTTAACAAATAAAAAACTGAAAAATTGGGCGTGCAAAATTATTCAGCCCCTTTACTTTCAGTGCAGCAAACGCTCTCCAGAAGTTCAGTGAGGATCTCTGAATGATCCAATGTTGACCTAAATGACAAAGGATGATAAATAGAATCCACCTGTGTGTAATCAAGTCTCCATATAAATGCACCTGCACTGTGATAGTCTCAGAGGTCCGTTTAAAGCACAGAGAGCATCATGAAGAACAAGGAACACACCAGGCAGGTCCAAGATACTGTTGTGGAGAAGTTTAAAGCCGGATTTGGATACAAAAAGATTTCCCAAGCTTTAAACATCCCAAGGAGCACTGTGCAAGCAATAATATTGAAATGGAAGGAGTATCAGACCACTGCAAATCTACCAAGACCTGGCCGTCCCTCTAAACTTTCAGCTCATACAAGGAGAAGACTGATCAGAGATGCAGCCAAGAGGCCCATGATCACTCTGGATGAACTGCAGAGATCTACAGCTGAGGTGGGAGACGCTGTCCATAGGACAACAATCAGTCGTATACTGCACAAATCTGGCCTTTATGGAAGAGTGGCAAGAAGAAAGCCATTTCTTAAAGATATCCATAAAAAGTGTCGTTTAAAGTTTGCCACAAGCCACCTGGGAGACACACCAAACATGTGGAAGAAGGTGCTCTGGTCAGATGAAACCAAAATCGAACTTTTTGGCAACAATGCAAAACGTTATGTTTGGCGTAAAAGCAACACAGCTCATCACCCTGAACACACCATCCCCACTGTCAAACATGGTGGTGGCAGCATCATGGTTTGGGCCTGCTTTTCTTCAGCAGGGACAGGGAAGATGGTTAAAATTGATGGGAAGATGGATGGAGCCAAATACAGGACCATTCTGGAAGGAAACCTGATGGAGTCTGCAAAAGACCTGAGACTGGGACGGAGATTTGTCTTCCAACAAGACAATGATCCAAAACATAAAGCAAAATCTACAATGGAATGGTTCACAAATAAACATATCCAGGTGTTAGAATGGCCAAGTCAAAGTCCAGACCTGAATCCAATCAAGAATCTGTGGAAAGAACTGAAAACTGCTGTTCACAAACGCTCTCCATCCAACCTCACTGAGCTCAAGCTGTTTTGCAAGGAGGAATGGGCAAAAATTTCAGTCTCTCGATGTGCAAAACTGATAGAGACATACCCCAAGCGACTTACAGCTGTAATCGCAGCAAAAGGTGGCGCTACAAAGTATTAACTTAAGGGGGCTGAATAATTTTGCACGCCCAATTTTTCAGTTTTTTATTTGTTAAAAAAGTTTGAAATATCCAATAAATTTCATTCCACTTCATGATTGTGTCCCACTTGTTGTTGATTCTTCACAAAAAATTACAGTTTTATATCTTTATGTTTGAAGCCTGAAATGTGGCAAAAGGTCACAAAGTTCAAGGGGGCCGAATACTTTCGCAAGGCACTGTAATTCTGTGAAGTGAAACGGACCAATCTTTGTGAAAAACACAAACTATATTAAATACTAACAAAAGTTTTAAAAAACGAGACCAAGTAGCCTCACACTGTTTTTGTCTTCTAACACTGACCAAATAAACAGTTTACCAGTGTGTCTGCCTAAAGCAGTGAAAGGTGTTTTCTCTTTGGGTGTTTGCTGGTAGATTGTTGCTGTGTTTCACACTGGGCTGCTCAAATGATCTAGGTTTATGGTTTTATAAAGTTTGGGGGCTTACAAGAAACGGATGTAAAAAAAGAATTGATGAGGCAGAAGCCAAGATATCCTGAGCATGTCCCAAATTTACTGTTGGTCAAGCTTCAAAAGCACTGGATCCTACACTTCCCATAATGCAACTCAGTAGTCTTTTGGTTGGAGTCTTTTTGCCTGGAAAATGGCCAGATCTTTCAAGCTCCATGCCCTGAGAGAGTTTCTATTAAAATTGTGTACAAGCCCAATTCAAGATACCCCTGATGACATCACAAGGGGTTTTTCACACTTTTAAAAAGCTCCTTTTAAACCCACAGAAACTATATGGACAATGTTCACAGTCAGTTTATGCAGCTGTTCTCACAGCTTCAGTACGACTCTCTATGAGGAGTTACCTGATTTTGACCCATTAGTTCCCCTTTAAATATGTTATGTTACACATGGTCTTCTGTCTAAAAGTTAATCTACACTTAGTTTTAACAGCTTTATGTTCTGTTTGGCGTTTCCCCCTGTAAAGTTTACAGGTGAATCTTCACCTGCTTTGGTTGTAATCCCTGTCTTTTGATCCAAATGTTTAATTCATTTATAAATGTGTTGAAGAGTGTCAAAAACAGCTGATTGACTTGATTTGTGAATAATTTTGTTGAGGTTAACGGGTTGATGAAGAGGAGACGAACAGAGCGTCTTTAAAAAAACAACAACATTAGTTTCATCACCATCTTCAGTCTCCTTTCCATTTCTTCTCCTGCAATTTAATTCCATGTCACTTTATTCAGCGTCCCTCCTTAACACTGAGTTTTTTATTCCCTCTAACAAATGCCAGTTCTTTTTTTAATTGTATTTCTTATTGTAGGTATCAATAGACATCCAGATTTCTCCCTCCCGTGCATCCTCATTTCTTTCTCCCTTACAGGCGACAGACAGAGGCAGGGAGAGAAAGCAGGCGCTGCCCATAAATTGCTTTAGAAAAAGAGAGCGGAGAGAAAGCGCTGGAGACACAGCAGATGCATTGACAGGAGCAGAGTTGAGGCTTTCCCCCTCCCCCTCCCTCCCTCCTCTCTCTTTTGTTGTGTCGGCACAGATAAAAATCGGATGAGCGTGGGCAAGGACCACTGCCACCCCACTGCAAGCCAGTTTGCCAGTGCTGAATCGCAGTGTGGAGCTGGTTGTTGCTGAAGGCTAACGGTGGGCTAGCAGGGGGCTGCGAGGCTCTGTGGCGGTGTGAAAAGGAGGAGAAAAAGGAGGAGGGGCTGTGGTGAGCTGGTGGGCTTCCTCTGCTTCACAGACACATTTTATTGACTTGCTAATTGGATGAGGCACTCGGAGGAGAGGATGCGGTGACCGACAGGAGCTGCTCTCCAGGGGAGGGTTGCAGGCACAAGGCACCGTTGCTTGGGTTGCGTACATCCAGCTACTTTCTATATTTCTTTCTTTATTTATTTATTTTATGGAGACATAACAACAGATGTTTTTCAGCATCTCCCAGTGACCCTTACACCGTGCGCATGTAATTGTATGCATGACATTGTCGAATGAAGGCTTCAGCTGCCAGACGCTTCGTGACGAGTGAATGATATCCATTTTGATGGTTTTTCACCCTGTTCCCTTTAACCCGTTTTTTTTCTTGGACTCACCAGCTGGAGCTTTTTTTTTTGTCAGCCTTGTTTGATGTGCCATTTGATATGAATGGTGTCTTCATCAAATCAAATCTACAATGTGCTATGGATATTCTACAGGGAAAAACAATGAAGGTATGATATGAGCAAAAGCCAAGACACACATTGTAGTAAGCTGGCAATATTCAGCCAGTGTTAATTTCAGTCCTAGTCAAGAAATGGATCAGCGGAATGTATGGACTGTTGCATAATTCCAGACTGAAATCTGAGGCTAAGGCATCAACAGAGTAGAACAAAATATCTTCTTACATCTATCTGTGTCTACACAGATTAAAAGAGTTTAAGAAGCGAAGCAAAGCAGAGAGAGGGAAGGATTATGAATGAATCGGTGGTGGAGAGCAGTAGTAGCCGTGTGCATGGAAGAGGATTAATGGAGGTATTTAAGAAAACAGTCTAGACTTGTTTCACCACTAGGTCAGCCTTTTAAATATATTCTGGAAATGTGCAATGTGAAGCGTTCCTCATTTCTCTCTTCGCGTCTTTATTAAAGGTTTTAAAAGGAGAGCAGAATTTCTGTCATGTCCACAAGCCTGATATCAGATATAATAATGGTTCTTTTTTTTCTTCTGCTTCAGTCTTGTCCTGGTTGCCATGACTGAAGTGTGCAAGTCTGGCTAGGTCAGAGAGCGGGTGCCGCTGTGCCGAGGTCTGCCGTCCCAATGAGCAAAGCCGGCAACCCACAGAGACGCACCACCTACCTCATTTCCCTCACTCTGGTGAAGGTTGAGGCTGTGCCAGAGGATGTAGCAGGGAATCAGAAGGAGGTTCTGCCAGAGGGGGAAGGGAGCCCAAAGAAAGAGGAGAAGGAGGAGGAGCAGGTGAGCAATGTCCCTGAAAAGGAAGAAGGACTTGTATGCACGGAAGTGGTGGAAAAAGGAAACCCACAGGTGGAAGAGGAAGCGGAACAGGTGCAGGTTAAATATGGCAGCCCCACTGGGAATTGGGGGAAGCCTGAGAGGAGGGAAACTCACGGACACCAAAAAGACAATGCACCAGTTGGTAAAGGCAAAGAGACATCTTTTGTACAGCCACCTGTTAGGCAAATGGTCAAAGTGTATGGAGGAACTACCTCTGAGGGAGCTGTGCGCAGAGAAGGACCTCGCTCAGATGCCTTGCGCCCTAAGACGGAGCTCTACAGAGAGCCCCCCATGCTGTTCCTAAAGGGTCAAAATGGAGCAGACCTGAATAGTCGCTCTCGTTGCAGCCTTCCTTTCTCTGTGTCGCTGCAGTCCAGTCAGCATCCTGAAGTCCTGATGAGGTCACATGCAGGAGGCAATTCTGCATGCTGGAGGGAACTCAGAGAAGCCAATACAAGTCTGTATCACTCTGCTAAGACTTTAGATCGAAGGGATAACCGTATCGGGGATCAGTCCCCCTTAATGGCAGCTACAACTCTGGGGCCTTACAGGGCGTCCTGGGCCGACAGCAACGGCAGGGGCACGCTCATCCGCCCCGGTGTTCCCAGCAGTGGAGGGTTTTCAGGCATAATGGCCAGGGAGAGTCCTCAAGGGGAGAGATTGAAGACAGTTTCTGTTTCCTTGCCTGCACCTCCTGCTACAGATTTGTCCAGGCCTCAAAGAAAAGGTACAAATCGTACTCTGGACAACAGCGACCTACATTCCCCCTCTGAGGACTTGAAGAAGGGGAAGGAGGGCCAGGGAGGGACAGTCTATCGAGCTCCTCCCCGTGACCGCAAGATGCTCAAGTTCATTAGTGGGATTTTCACCAAAAGTGCAGCTGTACCACCCAGTGTCAATGCTGCAGCTCCCCTCTATCCAGCCGTGGAGAGAGGCTCAAGTGAGGAGGAAGGCAAGTTCACCTCATGCATTCATCCATACTATGGCAGGTGTTGTAAAATTAACCTAATATTTTATACCGGTTCTCAAAGTTGCATATGTCTCACTCCTCTTCTGGAGATGCAAGTGATGTAGAGTCCCACAGTGCTGCCAAAATAAAAAGGAAAACAATAGTAAAGAATCTGTTGTCTCATGAGTTAGCAGACTGTGATTCACACAACTCAGAAGAAGAGATGCAAAACTACCCTTCTATGAAAATATGGTGATGGTCGCAGAAAATGTTGTCACCATCTGCCGGCTCACTTCACCCATCATTACTCACTTGGGTTGAAATTAAGCTACTGAGAAACCCATTGTGTTCAATGTGATGTGATGAAACAGGCTGGCATATTTATTGCTGTTTCTCTTCTCTGCATTTGTACAGACCCGAACCTGCCCACACAGTCGCATAGAAACGCTCTAGCTGTCTTCTGATTCATTAATTTATTTAAACCTTATTTATTCTTGGGGAGTTGTCAATTACACACATTTGTGATATTCAGCTATTAGGTGAGCATTCATTTATTGTTTTTGTTGTTTTTTGCAAAGTAAATTTCAATTTGGCTATTATATAAATCAAGGATTGTCTGTGGTTATTTTCAGTTAGTATAAGTTTAGTTTTGGAAAGAGAAGTGTTACAATATCTATATGAAATTGCTTTACCTCAAAAGACATGGTAAAGTTCACATTACTGAAGAAATGAAAGCTTTATTGGTGAATACTAAGTGTATGCGACATACTAGATAATGAGCTCATCTCATGTAGGGCCAAGAAATGTGTGTCACTTCCAGCTGCTAACCCTTCCTGTCTTTCAGGGTTTTGGTGAAGGAATTCTGCTCCTTTATTACAGCCCTGAGCTCTCAGCGTATGCAGGAGGAATATATAATTTAAAATGACCACTTTTGGTGAAAATGCAGTCACAGTCTGATCTTAAGGAAATGGAGCTGTATCACAGGTCTACAGAGGAAAAAACATAGGATGCTGTTTCCATTTGGAGCTGCAGAAGGCCACAACTGAACAAAACAAAAAAATGCTGATGAGATTACTATGATTTTGGAATATCTGTGGCTCATGAGGTAGGGCAGTCGTCTCCTGACCCGCAAGTTGGTGGTTCGACTCCCGGTCTCCCCGCATGCCTAAGTGTCCCTGAGCAAGACACTGAACGCCGAATTGCTCCCGGTGGTTTGACTAGCGCCGGTGCATGGCAGCCTGTCGTCATCGGTGTGTGAATGGGTGAATGGTGTATGATCTTCTGTAAAGCGCTTTGGCCAGTGCAACACACTGTGAGAAAGCGCTATATAAAATACAGTCCATTTACTTAAATTGATCCTCCTCATATTTTGATTTCACTCTGTTGTGTCAAAACTGGGGAAACCATAGGTTACTAATTACAGAGAGGTGACAAATAAAAGGAAAAACCTGGATAAATGAGTGGTCTCTTTCAGGATGACAGCGCCCCATCCACGGGGCATGAGGGGTCACTGAATGGTTTGATGGGTATGAAAATGATGTGAATCATATGCTGTGGCCTTCACAGTCACTAGATCTCAACCCAGCTGAACACGTATGGGAGATTTTGGAATGATGTGTTAGACGGCGTCTTCATCAGCAGCAGCAGAACACCAAATGAGGGATTATCTTTTATTAGAATGGTGTTCATCCCTCCAGTAGAGTCCAGGGACTGAAGCTGTTGTGGTAGCCCAACACCTTACTGAGACACTTCGGGTTTTCTTTTCATTTGTCACCCATCTGTATATACAGTTCCAACAATTATTCAGTGATTTCGTTAGTCAGCTGACTAACCAATAAAGGTAAACTGATTTGATAGTCAGGTAATCACAGAAGCCATTTTTCAAGCAAAACTACCAAACATTTTCTGGTCCCAGCTCCTTGTGTGTGAAAACATTTCCATAGTCATTTTTTTCCACTATTTTCTGATATTTTACAGACTAATTGTTTGAAACAATATTTGTCTGATTAAATGCTAATGAAAACGATCTTCAGATAAAAACCTACCATTCCATAAATTTAAAGTTTTCAAACTTAGGACAGGTTACTCTTTATTAGTGACCATACTAAAGCTTCACTGTGGCGATCTGTCTGAAAGCTGATCAGTCTTGTACTTTTGCTAATGTACTCAATGGTTCGGATGCCTGTTAGGGGGAATTTTCCAAACACTGACACTCAAACAAACAGAAATTAGTTCAGTCCTGTCAAAAATTACTTCATAAAACATTCAGGTTTCTCTGCTTGAAATAAATGAAATGCAAATTCATCAATCTTTTTTCATATATTCTATCATCAAATCATCTTTGACAGGGAGTGTAGGATTGGAGGGAGCTCTGAATAGTTTGTCAGGAGTAAGTGGGACATGAATAATTAAGGTTGGGAATACACAGAGCCGTGTTCATTGGAGGAGTGAGGAGAGCGGGAACCTGCTACTTCCTGCTCTGTGCATAGAGCCTACAAATGGAGCCTATTCATTCATTGGCCCTATACTGTGTTTAAGTGTTTGTGAGGAGCATAGTCACTATTGTGTCATATCAAGCCTGTAATTGAAGCATTTTTTGTTAGTAATCTGATGACAGATAGGCATTATTAATTGTGTTTAATTCAGATAAATAGCCTTGACCCACAGTTGCATATTTTCAGCATCACATGTGCACAGGTGGGCATCGTGCCTCTGTGCTTCTCACGCACGTCGCTGTATCCATGAGAGACCCTTTATTGTAGAAAAACCTGGGCTGGAGACTTCTGGAAAATGGAGTTGCCATGGTAACAGCAAGCCGTGAGAGATGCTATTTGGTCTGTGGTGTGACGCCGTTGATGGAGGGGAGTGTGGGCGTGAGGATTGCCCAAAGAAGGGGATGAAAGAGAATCATGGGGGGTTAAAGTTAGACTCTGTGACACCGTGGCCCCGCCTGAACACAACGTGGCTCCACAGCCTCAGAGAGAGAGAGTGTGTGTGTGTGTGTGTGAGCACCTTGTCACTGTCTTCACAGTGTTGTCCAGCATGAGTAAATGTGTATTTGTATTCACACTGGCAGGTTTTTGTCTTTCTGCAGATGTTCACAGACTTTGCTGCCGTTCTACTGTGGGTGACTTAAGGAACACAATGTTTAATTAGCTCCCTTAGTGAGTCATTAATATCACATGGAAATGTTAAAAAGTCTGTAAATAATTTCTTCTTGACAGCAGTGGATGCATTTGTTTTTTTACACCTTTTTTTCAAGAGACTGCTACTATTTTTAACAAAGCACTGAAACTAGCATACTAATTCTTTAATAATGTACTGGCCGGGTCTTTCACCTCTTTAACTTTATGGCCGAATATAAAAGAGTAAGACTTGTGATTTATATTTTCTGTAGCATGTGAAATAGAAATATATATAGATGACCTCAGAATTAAATTAAAGAGTGAGCCATGGGAGTAATAAAAATAACAATAATAATAAATTATAAGAGACGCTGGACTGCAGTGCAGTTAACTGTTGCTGTAGCACTACACTAAGTAAAATGTCAGTAAAAACTGAACAAAAATAGCCAACCTTACTGTCTATACAACCACTTTTTTGTCCTATAATGTAACCTTTTTAACAAAGTATTACTTTTAGTCCATCAGTATCTAATCTGATAAAGAATGGCTACACACTATGTTATGATCACAGTTACCAAATGAGCTGGAAGTATTTGGTTATTATCTCAATATACTGTGTGCGTACTGTATAATCTCACACCATGACAACTGGAGCATAATGTCAGTATTTAATATTAACACTCCGTCATTATGTGCTTATCACTAAAAACAAGGCCAGGGAACCAAACCAAGCACAGCTCTATCTGAATATTAGATCACCGGCAGATCATTTAAATACTGTAATAGAAAACTTAGACTATAATGAAACAAGCTGTGTTGTATATAGTGATAATTTAGTTATTTTACAGTAGAAACATACCACTTTTCTTGGTTTAATTTAAAGCATCTATTTGATGTAATTCAAAGAGCACACAGAACTGGCAGAGAAATGACCCTGCTCAAGTCTGGAGATATTGACGTCTACCTTAAAACTGATGTTCTGGTATGAGACGAGTCACTTGGTATCAGCAATCTATCTTTTCTTAAAGAGTCATTTCCATTCTGTCTGATAGAAAATGAAGTTGCACATGAAATCAACCTAATAATATCAGTCATTCACTGTACAAACATCCATCTTAACAAGTCGCTTGGTCTGATTTTGCCTTCAAGGCTTATTTTTCTTATTTCACTTTTTCCAGTGCTGTTTCCCTTTTTATGAAATATTTTATGGTCAATATAGCAAAACAGTGCTGGATAATGTCTATTACTTCCTGCACTAGTATTAAGATTGAGTGACTCCAAAACAGACAATAGTAGAATTTTAATGACATTAGAAACAATCTGTGTTAATGCATCATTTTTATTTTAGGTTATTTAACTTTCTGATGCAGATCAGCTCCTTTCTGGAGCCAATCCCATGTGAAATGTAGACAAACAACCACACACACACTCACACTCCTATGGGCAATTTAGAGCTGCTAGTCAACCTAGGCTGCATGTCTTTGGACTGTGGGAGGAAGCCAGAGTACCCGGAGGACACACAAACTCCACGCAGAAAGGCCCCTTGTTGGCCGGGACTCTAACCTGGAACCTTTTTGCTGTGAGGCAACAGCGCTAACCACTGTTCCGCTGTGCTGCCCCTTCTGTGTTCATTTGGTATAGAAAGAGGCCCAAACAGTGTTCATCTTAGCACAAATTCTGAAAACGGGGGGGTAGCTGCCTAGTTAGCTTTGTTAAACATGCTTTTTAAGAATGTTATGCAGTCTTGAGTAAAAATTAGTTTGTGTATTCAACAGTTATAGAACAAAAACAAAAATGGAATGTGATCCTTTCCTGGCTCTAAACAAAACTCAGAGACTTACAGATGTATTAGTGACTAGTTTGGTAGGTAACATAATACAGGTCAGCGAGGCAGGTCTCGAGGCCAAACACCTCTGTTTCTTGTTTGTGCCATTACAGACTCCCTGTATTAGAGCCTTCATGAAATAGGCTGGCATTTGTATTTTTGCCCGCAATCAATAAGAAAGCTGGTAATAATTTCATCTGAGAGAATCTAGAACAAAAATATGTGTTTAGCCTAGTGTAGCACAAGGACTGAAAGCAGGGAGAAACTGTTAGCTCCAATATTAGCTCTGTTAAAAGTTCTGCTAGCTTCCAGTAACTCCAGAGGTGTCTTATTTCCCACGTAGCAATTACCAGTATTAAACCATTAGAGTACTCATCTTTTTTTTTCCAATTTGTTTCTGCAGCTGCATGTACCAGCAGCCAAGAATGGACCATGAGCCAAACTGTACAGGAGCTTCACCTGGTAAGCATAAAGACATACTGTAGCTTCTACCAGCCACTGATTGGGACTTAAAACTAACTGAATATTTTCTTTCTGTCTGTTTGTGTATGCTCTCCAGGGTGTTCTGGGAGGTCTCTGCAGTGGGAAGTCTGCTCTGGTCCACAGACACTTGACAGGAAGTTACCTGCCAGTAGAGAACGCTGAGGGTTGGTTTCACATGTCCTTGTCTACAACCTTCCTGTGTGTCTTTCCAGAACACTGTCATTACACAGCTGACAGCTGACCTTTGCCACAGCAGGCACTTTTGACTTCTCATACACAGGTGTAACTAATAACATATAGCAAGTAACTATGATCCAGGGCCCCGGTATAATACTACTAATTGTACCTGTGCTTTTCTTGCTATAACAAATGAAAATGTTTATAAAAAGTCTGTAACATCTCTTGTGTCCAGGGCGTCAGTACATTAAGGACGTCCTGGTTGACGGACAGAGCCACCTATTGATAATCAGGGAAGAGACAGAGCTCCCAAGTGCTCAGGTGGGTTGGGAGCTGACCTATGGACAATGAAAAAACTTTATGTAAATTAGTCTTTACTCTGTCTGCTCTTGTGTAATTTGGGTGCTCTTCTTCTTCATCTTCTCCTTCTTTCTTTGCCTTAGTTTGCAAGTTGGGTGGATGCAGTTATCTTGGTCTTCAGTTTGGAAAATGAGGCCAGCTTCCAGGAAGTTTACAAACTCTATCACCAGCTTGCAATCCACCGGCCTGTCACTGAGATACCTTTCATAGTAGTTGGCACTCAGGGTAAGACACACACACAAACCATGTGCTGTGATCCCTATGAAGAGGTGAGCTCTTGTTGTGCTTATAATTTCTGCTTTTTCTAGATAAGATCAGCAGTACCAATCCCAGAGTAATAGATGATGCCAGGGCTAGACAGCTGTGCTCAGATGTGCGGCGCTGCACTTACTATGAAACCTGTGCGACCTACGGCCTCAATGTGAACCGAGTCTTTACTGATGGTATGTGTCAGCACTAGATCACAGTCTGGAGGATACTCCTGCCGTGCTATATGAAGGTTATGTGTCTATTTTAAGGCTAATATTTATCATTTGTTCCACAGCTGCTCAGAAGATCATGGCAGCCAAGAAGCAAGCTGCTCTACTGGCCTCCTGTAAATCTCTGCCTAACTCTCCAAGTCATTCTGGAGGCTCCACCCCAGTGTCAGGAGTCTTTCCAGGGCAGGTAAAACTGTTACTGTACAAAACTGTTAGCTTTTCTTACTGAGTGTTTGTTGTCTGGCTATTGTTAAAGGCTGTAAGCACACTCTTGTATCAAAGTCAGTTATCTCCCTCATCTGCTCAGTTATCGCTCTATCTCCTTCTCTCCCCTCCCGC